GGAGTCCTCTTCCAATCAAGATGCCTGGAGACTGCATTAGAAACCTATCTGTCTGACCACTGACCAAGTCAGAGACAATTCAGCTCTGTGAGAAGGACTGATTTTGATAAAAAGCCACATGCTCTTCTTTTCTTTTTCTTTCTTTACAAGTGGAATTAGCAGGAAAAAAAAAAAAAAAAAAGATACAGAAACATAATACAAAGGAAAAGTAAAAAAAAAATGCTTATGGAAAGAGGAGAGGCATAAAACCATGAGCTTGCAACAGGAGAAGGATGATAGCACTATACATGAAAGAAAAACAAGGGATACTAAGGGTGAGGCACTGTATGTAAGTAATTAATTTTGGCATGTGGAATGACAAAAAGTTAAAGCAAAGTCCTACCTTAATGAACCATAAAGTATAAAAATGAATGGCTCCCTGTTTCTCCTTCAACTGAAAATGGATCTCTCCCTGTCTGTCATACAATTAATTAACTTATGCGAGTACTGTTAAATTTTAAATCTGGGGAAAAAAAGCCATCTTCTGTTAAAAATACTTAGAAGACAGTGAAAAATGTCTGTTTATTTTTAATACACCATTTCTGTCAATACCTTTATGCTTGGCTTCTATGACTGCACATCAATTCTGATGCACCTATACATCCTCCTTTTCCCTACAAATCTGAACACCCCATACATAATACTAAGTCATGACGACTTGCTTAGAAAGCTTGGATTTGCTAAGTCTGAAGTTCTGAAATACCTCTTAGTGGAAAGATGACATGTTTAATCACATACATATAAAATATAAATAAATATTATATCTAGTTATATAAAAATTATTATTTATAAATGTAATACTATATAATAAAACACTAGAAAATATTATTTCCCACAAAGGTTCCACTTCCATAAGGATTCTTGCAGAAATCTAAAAGCCATCTTCTCTACTGTGAAAAATTCGAATACTAAGGAAAGTAAATAGTTGCCTTTACATTATTTCTTCTATACACATCCTGAACTTCACAAACCATGCTCTTCTCTCTCATTACTCTACATCCAAGTCCAAGACAGCAATAACTAGTGAAATGCCATTAAATTACAGAAAGCCAGCTCTACAATTTCTCATCAAAGGTGTAGCTGTCTCAGTGCTTAAAAGTAGCACCTAAATGAATGGTTAAATATGAAACAAAAATAGAACTAGATGATGGCAGTGAAAGGTATTTTATAGTGAGTGCTTTTTATCCATGCGAATAATCTCTATTGCTGAAAGTCCAACCCACAACAGTAGCACTAACAATCACCGATATCTTTGCCAGTTCTCACTGTAGCATTCAGAACTGGATGGGATTAGCAGACCTAATTATGAACAGCTGCAAATCCTGTTTTTGGTATTCCTCAGGATCAATGAACCTGTCAGCAAAAGGGAGGCTGGAAGCAAATGCATCCCACAAATGCTGTCCCACAAAACTTGTTGAAGAACAACGTATTAACACAAGTAGACAACGATCTTTCTTTATCAATATTTTTCCATTCATATATCTCACCTTTGAAGAAAAGTTACTCAGAAAACAAATAAAAAAAAATTTCTGTCCTACATGTTTGAGGTGACTACAGAAAGAAGGCAAATGAGTTATTTCTACTGCTGTTGCAAATGAACGAGTTTGGTGACTGGCCTTGTATAAAATAAAGATTAACTAAGAATATCTGAGAAAGAAAAAGTATAGAAAGAAGGAGAATAAATCAGTGAGGGAATGTGATTGTTTATGACTGCTATAGAATTGACTTTCAGGTTACAATTTTCTAGTAATAATTTGAATCATACAGCACAGGAATGAAAATTATTTTCTTGAACAACTTGAAAAGTAAAGCATTTATCGCTTTGGAATTTATCTTGTGTAGTTTCAAATGTAAAACTTCAGAATAACCAAAAACAGTGCTAAAGAACTACAAATGGCCTTTATATTAAATGCTAGTGTTCGAAAAGTTTTTATTTGGTTCAAAGTATAATATAGAAAAGGCAAATACTGCCATGAAGACCCAGTTTAGTCCATTTTTCTCATGAGAGTTTGACAACAGAAGCCCAAAAGGATTGAAAATAACATTTTCAGAAAGGGACATCTTGGACAGATCTTGCAAGGGACATAGAAAAACAACAGATCAGAGACTTAAAATTAAGTTTTTAGAGACTTCAGGGAGAAAACTTAATGAAAATAAGGACATTAATAATGTTTTCCAGGAAAGGTCAGCTTGGCAGGATCGCCCACGCTATCTGTCAACAGTGTGAGGTTCCCTTCTGAAGTATCCCTTCTGAGGTGTCCCTTCTGAATAGATTTCATACCTAAAGCCACACAATACTTTGCAACTCAAACCTAAATTAACATGTGAATTATACTTGAAATTCCCTCACTTTAACACATTAACATTACTTCTATAACCCAGAAAAACTGTCTCCATTTTACATAGCCCTAGGAGTCACTCTTCTCCAGGTTCACCCACTGTGTAATCATTACTGGTCATGAAATACAACCAAGGAACTTCAGCTCATTTCGAATGCAGTGGCTGCATATGCCAGTTCTGCCTCCTCTGCAGGGACTCTTACTTTCCAGAATTCTTTCAAAACCCAGCTCCTCAATTATCAGAGCTTGTCTTCCTGTCCTGTCTGCTACCAGGAAATACTATTGAGGGTACCCATAAACTGTAGGAGCAAAATGCATCCAAATCAAAATCAAGACAGATCTTGATATTAAAAGGAAGAGGCTGACCTGCTGGGTTGTTTGGGTGGTTTTTCGTACTGCTTTGGTTTTGTGTTTTGGGGGGGCAGTAAGGGGTTTTTTTGGGGGTGGGGTCTTTTATTTTTTAATTTTGGGTGTTGTGTTTTCTTTTCTGTCTTTCTTGAATGATCAAAGAGCAATGATCAATATATATAAAGATTTGATACATTTTCTCAAATGCAGCCAACATTTGCTGATTCAATCAAGAAGTAATCTGGCACTAGGTAGGACAGAATTTTGATTCTTTTTCTATTAAAGTTTATATACAGGGCATTTAAATAACAGAGTCCAGAGCAATCATCTATACTTATATGCAGACACCATATATTGCAGTCACGTGATATTTTACTATGACTCTTGCAATTACAATTTGCATACAATTTATCAGCACTACCAGCAATATCTGCAGTTAAAAGCTGCATTTTTTCATGCTTCTCAATGAAGTAAAAAGTACATGAAAGCTGATGATTTTTGACTGAGGCTTCACTTCACTGAGTGGTCTCCCTCTAGTTGCCAACTGACCCAGCCCTTCTGAACATTTTTAAGAGCAAATCATGTTCCACAGAGTTCCATGGACAAGTTTTGAAAGCAGTACATAATGTTTCTCAACTACTAAAAGCTACTTCAAATTATTTTTTGTGTGTTATTAAACAATCTATATAAATATTTACTATGGCAGGAATGAAACACGGGTTTGTGTTATACAGGCAGACTCCCTATACTCACATATGTATATACAGATACCTGCTACACACTTTTTTGGTTTCTAATTCTTAGCAGATGTCCTGGTTTGGGCTGGAATAGAGTTAATGTTCCTTTTCGGTAACTAGAATAGTGCTGTGTTTTGGATTTAGCATTGGGTTTGGTAGGAGAAGAATGCTGATAGCACACAGATGTTTTCAGCTGCTACTGAGATTTCAAGGACTCTCCAACTCCCCATGCCCTGCCTGTGCTCAAGGGCACAGGGAGCAGGGAGGGAGAACATCCGCAGCACCTGACCCTAACTGGCCAGTGAAATATTCCATATCATGGAACGTCATGCTCACTATAGGAAGGGGGGTCTCTCACTTCCAGGACTGCGATTGCAGGATCATGGTATTTCGGGATCTCTAGCCGGGAATGGGTTGGGTATTAGTCAGCAGGTGGTGAGCAATCACATTGTGCATTGCCCATTTATATTTTCTATTGCTGTCAGTGTTTTAATTTTATTACCATTATTAAGCTGTTTCTATCTCAACCTGCAAGTCTCCCTTTACTCCTCCAATTCCCTCCCGCATTTCCAGGTTGGGAGGGAGGGTTGGTGAGCAGCTGCAGGGTGGTTGGCTGCCGACCAGGCTCGAACCACAACAGCAAAGTATCGCAAACTCACTTGATGTCCCCTAACACCAGATTTTATGTTTACATGAGATGTACAATACAGCAAGCAGACAGAAAGGCTCCTCCTTGGCCACCTCTGAGGAGGCTGCCATGAACTGTTCACTCTAGCAAATACCAGTACAGTTCATGAAATGTATTTTATTCAGTAAAATTTGACATACTAACACTTAGTTTTAAGAGGAACACTGTTTATCTGAGGAAATAAAATACACTATTTGGGGATGACCATAACCTAGACATCACTGTTGCAATGCTTATGCAAAATGTCACCAGTTTTTCTAGTGACATTATTAAATGGTGATAGAGAAGATTCCTCCATAGCTTAGGGGCACCACAAGTTTTGAAAAATCAGCATAACAGAATTTGGGGGAAAAAAAATCACCACATACATGCTGGCACTGATTAAGCCCCATCTGTGTGTGAAAGAGAATTAAAGTGACGTAAGTGTCTGTCAAGTGTTCTCTCACCCAGCTCTATGCCCTTGAACAGACATCCTGCCAATACTTGATACACAAATAAAGAAAACTCTTGTGTATCAGTTCACTCTTAAAAGCTTTCAGTGGGAAGTACTTTTTTTCCCTTCATTTAATGGTCTAACAATATTTGGTGAAAGAATATTGTAATCTAACTATTTATAGACATTTTCTCTCCAGTTAAGGTTATCTATGTCAGAATAAAGGACATACAGCACTGGCCAAAAAAAAAGTTTTTATATGAAAGAATAATAGTATGTACAGAAAACCCAACAACAGATCACTACGTGTATTTCTATTATCCAAGAAAACCTGTTGCACTCCAATACCATAAACTGATCTCTGCAGAAGACATTAAAATGCACAGTTGAAAGCACAGAGATATAGAAGCACTTACATTTGCACTGTGATCACTTCCACTAACACAGACGACATCTTGTTTTTGAATTGTCAATACCTCTTTTGTAAGCTTCAGTCGGATGTCATAAGCATTTTCGGATACTTCATCATACAACAATGCAATACCAGTTTTGGTCTGTGAAAGCAAGGCACAGAAACAAAAATTTAATATGAACATTTCATAATGATAATTAACAACCTCTATGCCATTCAACACATAAAATGCACATAATTGAGCATTGTTTACAGAAAGCAGTAAACTGGTCTGCTTTTCAGTCTTCAGATGAACTAGACATAAAAAGCCTCTTCTATACTGTAAAATACAGGCTAAATGGTCTTTCAAGTAGACATAAATATGTAAATAATTACATAAATAAATAAATACATTCTCATTGTACTGTTTGACAAAGGAGTGTCGCCATTGAATGATGTCCTATTTGTTTTTAATTGTATGAATTACTATGAGACTGTACCAGAAGCAAATTTTTCAGCTTCTACAAGAAATAGGGAAGTGCAGTGTTATTCCTGACTCGGAGAGGTTCCTTCCACTGTGACAGAAAAAGACCTGTACCTTTCATAAACATTGCCTTTAAGATGTAGAGTTCTATTAAAGCAGAAAATTATGTTTTCACATTGTAAAACACACAAATAAATACAGGTGTTACAGATTTTCTGTTTCTTTAGGTCTAGATGGGCATATATTTCTCAAGTTACATCATCACTGGACTAATAACTAGCAAGCCCTAAAGGGCAGTCAAGTATTTGGTATAAACAACGTTTTTTCCATGAGCAGTAGAAAAGAAATTGTATTTTCTGCTGCCACTTCAGATACTTCAGGATATCTAAGACCTCCACTCATGTAAGGCTGATACAGGCTTTTAAGGACATCGAGGTCCTTCTGTAGCTGGAGGCCAGACCAGATTTCCATGATTATAATGGGATACAGACATTGGCCATGCCAGCAGACATCTACATGTAGGTATATTCAGCTTGAAATGGATCTTGCCAAAGGTTTACAGTGTAGAAATCAACATCTAGGACCGCCGTTTTGATTCTGTCAAGCCAGTGGTGACGTCTCTGAAGCATGATTTACCTGATTTCTTTTATACATCTATCTAGAAGGGAAAACTGCATCACAGCTCTCGACTTAAAAAATAAATATAAATAACAACTCAAACACAAGTGTCTAATTCCAGGCAGATAAATCTTGTCCTCAGTGTTTGCTGTGAATGCTTAAAGGAAACACAGTTCAGTGAGGGTGTAAAGCCTTAATCATTCTCACTTGTTTGGAAACCAACATTTCTTCATTCTCCTGAGGTTTTGAAATTTTTAAAATTTCCAGCATGTGTGGATGTTTTATCAATACAATTTTGCAAATGACAATGTATTAAAACTGTGCCAACATCATCTGCTTAGAAGGCATGCTACATAACAGCAAGTATTTTCAAACAGCAGAACTGCCTTGCAAAGCCACTGTCCCCGCATTTTGCTGCTGTTCAGAGGTTGTACATCACTATCCAACCCGGACTGGCAACCGCTGTTACTTTTGCTGACATACCAGAGCATGCTTTACAGGAACACCAAGAGAACAGAGCTCTAGAGAGCTCTTTATACAGCCTAAACCCAGAATATTTCTGTGGCTAGTAAACATTTCATATGTTTAGAAGTAACACAATGAAAAAAAACCCTAAACTTTAATTTGTAACAGATGAACATGTAATGAATTAAATATGCATAGTGACCAATCAAACAGCATAGCATTTTCCATCACACTACTTAAAGTCTCACTGAAGCTCTTATATTCCTATTAAAATACAACATCTACCCCACACTCCATCTAATTCCTGATGTGATAAAAGATGACATGCAGCAATACCTTATTTGCTTTCAGAATCAATAAGATTAATCTAGATTTCTCTCAGTCTTTCAAGTCGGCTTTTTTTAGACCATCATAAATGGCTTTGAATCAGAGTTCAGCACATTCCCTTGTTGTCTGTGTTAGAGATGGCATATGTAACTCTAGTGAGCAAATCCCAATCAAGACAAAGTGCTTCTTCAAAAAAAGGATCTTTTAATGAGAACTTAGTCTTGTCATGTACATGTACATCCATAATTTTAACTGCTATGTTTGTCTTGATTTCTCATTTGAAAACTGTCTATATGGTAGCCATTCTAAAACTGGTATCAGAAAGTGAGGACAGAACAGTGGAAATAACTCCCCAAAATGATGTTGTTACAGAGTATATACCAAATTTCCATGTGTTCTCTAATAAAAAACATGCAGAAAATGCACGGGGAATTGCATCTCAATAGGATTTAAGTGCTTACAATGAGAGGTAGGGGATTATAAATCTAAACTGACTTCGGCACATGAGGAAATTAAATATTGATTTTTATATCTCTGACAGTTTTCTAGACATGGGACTCAGCAAGAATAGTGTGTGGTGTGCATGTCTACATGTGTGGTGGGAGGAAGAGAAAAGGAGATCAGTAGCACAAGCATCTTAGTAGCTGTGACTTAAGAAAGCTTAGTCAAAGCTTTTGACACTGTCCCACATGAATCCTTGTCTCCAAATTGGAGAGTTATGGATCTGACAGATGGACCACTCAGTGGATAAGGAATTGCCTGGATGGTCACACTCAAAGAGTTGTGGTCAACGGCTCAATGTCCAAGCGGAGAGCAGTGACAAGTGGTGTTCCTCAGGGGTCAGTATTAAGACCAGCGCTGTTTAACATCTCTGCTGCTGACATGGACAGTGGGATGAAGTGGACACTCAGCAAGTCTACCAGCGACACCAAGCTGTGTGGTACAGTTGACACACTGGAGGGAAGAGCTGCCATCCAGAGGGACCTTGACAGGCTGCGGGGTGGGCCCGTGCAAACCTCATAAAGTTCAACAAGGCCAAGTGCCAGGTCCTGCACATGGGTCAGGGCAATCCCAAGCACAAATACAGGCTGGGCAATGAGTAGATTGAGAGCAGCCCTGCGGAGAAGGACTTGGGGTGCTGGTTAACAAGAAGCTCAACATGACCCAGCAATGTGTGTTCACAGTCCAGAAAGCCAACCATCCTGGGCTTCATCAAAAGAATCATGACCAGCAGATCAAGGGAGGTGATTGTGCCCCTCTACTCTGCTCCTGTGAGGTCCCACCTGGAGTACTGTGTTCAGCTCTGGAGACCCCAACATAAGAAGGGCATAGACCTGTTGGAACAAGTGCAGAGGAGGGCCACAAAGATGATAAGGGGACTGGAGCTCCTACGAAAATAGGCTGGAAGAGTTAGGGTTGTTCAGCCTAGAGAAGAGAAGACTCTGGGGAGACCTACAGCAGCCTTCCAGTACCTAAAGGGGGCCTACTGGAAAGCCAGAGATGGACTTTTTACAAGGGCATGTAGTGATAGGACAAGGAGTAATGGTTTTAAACTCAAAGAGGGGAGATTTAGATTAGATATTAGGAAGAAATCCTTTACTGTGAGGGTGGTGAACCACTGGAAGTGTTCAAGGCCAAGTTGGACGGGGCTTTGAGCAACCTGGTCTAGTGCAAGATGTCCCTGCCCATGGTAGGGGGTTTGGAACGAGATGTTCTTTAAGTTCCCTTCCAATCCAAACCATTTTATGATTCTAGTCAGTGCTCAGTTTTTGAAAGAAAAAAAAACCCTGAAACCGAGTTTCTCAAGCAAGCTCAAAAACTATCAAGACCACAGAGAAGAAAAGATCACTCTCTATAGGCAACTAGAATTGCATATGAATCCTTTTATCACTATTATTGTTGACTTCTTAAGGTAGGTCCCCACCCAGTGTACTTGCTTTAAAGTGCTCCCCATTCAGCATAATGTTTTGAGGCCCTACTCAAAACACCGCAAGTCTTTCAATGCACTGTATCTGCAGCCTAAAGCTCACCAAAATTTGGTCTGATTGGCATCAAATACTTGTCTTCACTGCTGTAAGTTTTATTTTGTAAAAGCTTGCAAAAAAATGAGGCAGAGTTTAAAAGTGGTATTGAGGTGTACTAGGTTTCCTACAAAAACTATTTACTTGTTTACATCCATTTGTTTTTCAAATGAATTAGAGAGGTATTTGTCAGGCTTTTCATGATATTAACTGTTTGAAGAGAAAACATTCAAGGCTCCTACATAGATGATCATAAAATTCAGGTGAGATTCATAATAAAATCATATAATATGTTTCTATGCATTCAGAGCAGATGTCAGTACATGCAGTACAGTTTACTATTATGATTTAAACTGTATACTACTTAGTAATTCCAACCCTCTTCCTAAGTGTATTTTAGCAATTGTGATCAGTACTGTTGCTAATTAAATGGAGTATTAGTGTCATAGACTCTTATAAAAATGGATCATTGGAGTTTCCTCTATTTTATCTAAAAAATCCTTTGCATTGAGTTACATTGGTCCTCTAGCAGAAATCACTATATGCTGATCTTAATCCTTAATATAGCCACAGCTTCAATGGCATGGAAGTTCAAGTTCTAACTGCTAAAATCCATTTATAAATGAACTTTCTTCATTTTTAAATAAAATTCTTTAAGCACCATAATTGAACTTTTTTCTCCAACTGAAATTCCACATTATATTTCCACACAAATATTTTATCAGCAATATTTACAACTCCGAGGACTAATGATAAAATTCTTTAATGCAATTTCATTTTTTTTTTCATGAATATAACTTTGTTGAAATCCTGTATCCGTGGTATACTGATGGTTGGAACACTTGATGAAGACATGTGAGAATTTGAGTCACTGATTTTTATCCTACATCACTTCAGATAAGGCAGAAAGAGAACTTCAGGAAGTCCCACATAGCCAGTGCTCTGACCACTAAATTAGAGCATGTTCAAATTTACTCTCTCTCTCATAACTGGTTTGATATGTTTTCTACACCCCATATACTGTCATGATCAAAAGACAAAGACATTTTCTCAGAGCAGGACAGAATACACATTTAAAAAAGCCTTGGCTAATTTTTTAAAAAAAATATTTTAAAAATGGGATAAAGTGTAACAGACAAAAAAAAAGCAAGGTGCTACACTCTAGGAAGAACAGTCACTTGCATGGAAGAAGAAAAGCTTTTCTTTACCATTTCTTCAGGAAAGGAAACAAGTAGGTAGCAGTGAGGA